CATAACAGAATACAGCTGATATATAACAAGCCAAGTAACACCAAAAACTCCTTGGGATTTGGCTTCCTCTGGAGGAATTCCATGATCCCTCCAGGTAGTGACTCTGCCACAACCAGCTGAGTTCTTATGATATATTCCTGCGGCCCGCAACACCCATCAACACCAGGTTCTATAAGGGTACAGGTAGATCACCAATAGAGCCAAGGACTCAGCTGTGCTCAGCTGCAGGGATGTTTAGCAGAGTGATGGGGGACTAGGTCTCTGCTTCCTTTCTAGACTTTCAGGGAGGAGGGATTTCTAATGCCAGGACATGGGGCAAAGGGGTGGAAATAAAATGACAAACGTTATCTAATACATCCTTTTCCATCTCTGGAAGGATAAAGACAGAGAAGGATGCAGAATGAGTTGGTTACAGAGGAAACTTCTAGTCCTAAACCTCAGTTAATATTCCAGGGTATGGTCACAGGCAGACCTACAGCAGGGTCAGGAAACATGAGAAAAGGATCAAGTACCCTCCCAGAGGCCTGTTTCCTCCTCCTGGAGACTCCACCTCAGATTTGTGTCCACATCACCAGAATCCTCATTGTGAATCCTTTGTTCTCTATTTTCAGGTGTTCCTCACAGAGTTACTTAAAAATGCTCCCAAAGTGGCTAAGCACAGATGAATGGAAACACTTTATAATAATAAAACAGGAGATGGACACATTTACATGCAGGGCTTGAAATTTCTCAGTGAAGCCCAAATCTCAAACATTTTCTATATCCTACCTGTATTCTTCCTCATCACAATGGCAGCCACAGCTCCAGCAACCAAAATTCCAAGGAGAACCAAGCCAGCAATTATCCCCATGGTGGGGATGGTGGGAGAGGGAGGAGGCTCTGGGAGAGAGAGTAGGAGAGGATAGAAGTGAGTGACCCTCACCCTGCTCAGGGCTCCTGCTTTCCCTAAGGACAGGCTCTGTGCTCTCACCCCTCCTTACCCCATCTCAGGATGAGGGGCTTAGGCAGCCCCTCATGCAGCACATGGCATGTGTATTTCTGCTCCTCCCCAGAAGGTACCACCACGGTTGCCCACTTCTGGAAGGTTCCATCCCCTGCAGGTCTGGTCTCAATAAGATCCATGTCCTGGGTCAGATCCTCCTCATCCCTCTGCCAGGTCAGGGTAATGTCCGCAGGATAGCAGCCCAGGGCCCAGCACCTCAGGGTGACGTCTCCTTCAGGCCTGGGGTGATGGGTCACATTTGTTTTGGGGGGACTGAGGAGAAGAGTCAGAGAAAACAATCTTCTGTTCCTTCCTGTGGAGCACTTGAGCACTGATCATGTGACCATCGCCAGGGTTGGGTTGGAGATTCAAAGAGCAGCACTTAAACTGCATGGACTCAGGATGCAGAACTACCTATTCCTTGGGAAGTTCTAGAATAAAGACATGAACCTCTATACCTCTGAGTGGGTTAAAACCCAGTGACTCTGAATAACTAGAGCTGTCTGCGAACATTGGCAGAAACAGGGGCTGAGATCAAAGGGGAACTGCCACTCACTCCTCTGCATTCCTGAACAGATGGAATCTCTGTTATGGTTTGAATATAAAGTGTTCCCCCATGGCTCAGGTATATGAAGCCTTGGTTTGTTCCGGTGATGCTGATGATTCTAGTGGAATATTGAGTGTGTAGGGTCTAGCTGGAGGGAGTTGGTCACTGGGAGGTGGGCCTTAAGAGTTACAGTCTGTTTCCAGCTACTCTCTGCTTCCTGATATGTCCAGATGTGAGCAAGGTTTCTAGGCTGTGGCCCTGACCTGCTCCCACCCCCATGTGCCTCTTATGAATTGTTAACCGATGGTTGGAAAGCCACAATACTTCAGTTCTTCTCCCATAAAGTTGCTTCTAATCAGGTATTTTGTCACAGGAATGAGAGAAGCAAGTCATATAATCCTTGAAAGCAGGGTGGATCCTGTGGGATCTGGAAACCAGGGATTCTTCCTCTGCTCCAGACCAATGGTGAAAGGGTGGTTGTGACTAACTGGAGAGGCATCAGCAAGTGTCTAATAGGACACCAATGACAAATGTCTTAGTACTGTTCTGTTGCTGTGACAAGACACCATGACCAAGGCAACTTACAAAAGGAAGGGAACAAGCTAACTGGAGGGCCAGTTATTCCCTCTGAGTTGAGATCTGTGTTTTTATTCTTCACATTCACAGTGTATCATGAGTATATTAAATCTACATAAGAAGCATAGATGACCAAGTTTGTATCTTTCCACTGTAGTGGGAATCTTATAGAATCATTGTATCTAGGGTAAACATTAGAATGCAATAGTTGTTTCTCACTGTATCTAGGGTATCAGTAGGATGTGTTAGTGTTTGCTGAATGTATCTAGACCTTGAAGAAATCATAGTAGAGAACAGTGATGGTTTTCTATGATTTATAGAATTTCTCTGAGGAAATTTTCCATTCCTTGCATGACTTTGGTCAGAAGATTATCTGGGCACACTTGGAGTTCTTTAATTATTGGGTGCTACAAACAATACACAATATGAATTAAAGTTTCAGGGGTGTGATGATTTCCTTTAGAGAACATATAGATCAAAGGGGCTTTGGTATGAGGAACTTGTTATACCCCAAACAAAACCTTTGTGAATAATCAATAAATGTGCTTCTGAACAGAGGTTTGAGGTTCAATTCACAGAAACTGTTTCTCCATGCTGCCAGAAAGCCTAAAATTACATTCTGGGGTGAGTTTTCTTCTTTGAACAGCCCACACAATACAGAATGCCCGACATTCTACAATGTCTTAATTAAGTGACAATAAATTCAGTAAGTGTGATGGTTTCCATATCAGGAATTTGGCAGATAATCTTGCTGTCTTTGGTAACCAAATTGAAGCAAACACATGTTCTTTTATTCCAATCTTAATTACTAATATTAATTGAAATGTGACACATCACACAGGAAATATATGCATATATGATGGTTACAGAATAGATACAAAGGTAAAGGAGGCTGCAGTAGAATTTCATGATGCTTTTCCAGTTGGGCTTACAGAAGTGTAAATAGAGGGCTAGAGAGATGGCTCAGGTTAAGAGCATTTACTGCTCTTGTAGAGCACCTGGGTTTGATTCTCAGCACTCACATGGTGGCTCACAAGCATCTATAATTCTGTTCCATGGTATCTGATGCCCTCTTCTGGCCTCTGCAGGAACCAGGAGTATACCTTGTGCACAGATATACGTGCAAGCAAAATATTCATACACAGAAAATATAAATAATCCAAAGAAATGTAAATAGTCTTTTTAATATGGTGGGACCAAAACAGTGCATGGAAGAGGCTGCTGCCATAGAGACAGACACTGAGCAGAAGACTGACAAATGAGTCCAGCTGCAGAGGCAAAAGGGTGGGACCAGATCTAGGGAAAGGAATGGACAGATGGATGGACAGGGATCTAGATGGATGAAAGGAGGTTGAGCAAATTATAGTGAAATAGTCAACATCAGCATAACTGAGCTGAAGCCCCAGGGACAGTGTGGAGTTCTCCATTAGTCACTGATGCACACACTGAGTGTCAAATGACAGATTGGTGTTGAGTCAATGACATTACAGTGCTGATGTCCATGTCTTCTGGGATTCTGATGAAGATGTACCCTTTCATTGACTGAGTATGTCCCACAAGTTCTTGGACCTGGTTTCCCTGATATGATTCTAATACACCCACATATTCCCATGGTTTCAATTCATTTCAATAAATTTATGGCAGATTGCATCCCCCACACTTGCAACACCAGCACTCAGGCTGAGTCTGGAAGATTTATGGGAGTAGATGGTCAGCCCAAACTGTTGATTATTCACTTTTCTCATTAATGTAAAACAAACAAACAAACCAAAACCTGAAAGAAGAAAGAAGCAACTTAAGGTAAGAAGGATTTATTTTGTTTTTTGATTTGAGAAGCTATAACACTTCTTGGCAGGAAAGGCATGGTGGAGTTCATGGAAGCTGGACCATGTGGCTGGGATGACTCACATCTCCATTCATCAGGCAGCAGAGTGTGGGGATACTAGCTCTTATCTCCCTTTTCTTCAGACTGGGCCCCCAAATCACGGGCTGGTGTCACCCACATTCATTGAAGCCCTCCCCTCCTCAGTTAATCTTCTCTGGAAACACCTTCACAGACATTTCCAGGATTGCAAGTCCTGGAAGATTCTAAATCCAGTCCAGATGACAATAAAGATTAGCCTTCAGAGCTACAGGGTGAGTTCCAGGTCGTCCTGGGGTACAGCGTGAGAACCTGCCAAAATAAAGGTGCAGGGAGGACTTGAGGATGGCTCAGTAGTTAAGAACATTTGTTGATCTTGCAGAACACAAAGTTTCAGTTCCTACTATCTAAATGGTGACTCACAACTGCCCGCAACTCCAGTTCCAGAGAATCTAATTTTCTTTTTCTGGTCTCCTCAGGATGGGCCACACACAGTGCTCATAAACTCAAGCAGGCAAACACATGCACACAAAATAAAATAAATCAGCAAATCTTTATTAAAGATAATTGACAGGAGAGATGGCTTCGTGGTTGAGAACACTAGCTGCTATTGAAGAGGACCTGGATTTACTTCCTAGCAAATACACTGTGGCTCATAATTGTAGCAGGAATCTTAAAAGTTCTTATTAATAAAACCAAACCTGAAGCTAGTTATGAGGGTGAACACTGGAAGATCAGAGAGACAGAACAAGCCACAGCTAACCTCACCTGGCCAACTTCTCAGCTGGTCTTGTTTCCTCAGACTGTAAGCTTCAGTGTCCTCATCCCAATGGCTCTCAGCTGAACTGTGCTGCTAGAAGCCTGAAAGCTTAACCAGCCAAATGTTTCTAGTTTCTGGTCCTCATGCCTTATATACCTTTCTGCTTTCTACCACCACTCCCTGGGATTAAAGGCTCGCTTTCTGGATTAAAGGCGTGTGTCACTATGCCTGGCTGTTTCCAGTGTGGCCTTGAACTCACAGAGATCCAGAGGGATTTCTACCTCTGGAGTGCTAGGATTAAGGGTGTGAGTGCCACCATTTTCTAGCCTTTGTATCTAGTGGCTGTTCTGTCTTTGACCCCAGATAAGTTTATTAGGGTGTACAATATCTTGGGGAACACAATACCACCACACATAATCATTCAGTTCCAGGGAGATTCAACAAATTTTCTGATTTCTGAAGGCTCCTACTTTTGGGTGGTTTGCATACTTACACTCCTACGTACACATACACATTCACGTACACATAAGTAATGAAAATAAATTTAAAACCTTTGTCAAGGCAGGGAGGGAATACTATCTGTGCTCTATGCTCAACTATCTAAGACAGGTCTGGGAAGAAGCCTGAGTATTTTAGAACAAGATTTGTGGTGACTGATGTCCATCATCAGAGCATCACCCACAATGAAGAAATATGAAAATAATGTTTTTCCCTGAGAAGAGTAAGAAAGGATTCATGTTATCAGCCCTGAGTTGTCATGTTGGCAGATACATATTGTTTTCTCTCCCATGGGGTTTAGCTTCAGGTGGAAAACATTTACATAACGGGAGCCTCTGACAGTTTACTATCTGAAAAGCGCCTAGTTGATTCTTACTTTTAGGTAAAGATACTAGATTTCAAATTCTTGTTCTTACTAACCATAAAGGAATTCTGCATGTGAAATTGGAGAGTTGAATATTTTTTTTAATTATTTATTTTTATGGAACCAAGTTTGAGTATTTATAGCTAGGCAGAGAACACACAAGCCCATCAATGCCAGTGCCACCCAGAATACACTGTTCCTGCTACTGGACACTGGTTCTTGTGGCTGAGAAAGTTTCCCTGCAGTTTCTGGAAATGATGTGGCAATATTACACTTGCCAAAAGCATTCTGTGCAGTTCCAGCTTTTCCTTATCACCATGTGCTGAGCCAAAGTCCAGCATGTGGTCATTTGACTGGTGGAACCAAGGACTCATGATGTGCTCAGCTGCAGGAATGCTTTTGGGAAACTCCCCCTTCTTCTCAGCATCCTCTTTGCCGCAAAACTCCTGCATAGATATTGACCATTCAGATATTTATTAAACCAACCTGACTGAACAAATCTTCACAGAGTACAAAAAGATTATTCTATAACAACCTTGAACTTCTGATTCTCCTGCTTCTATTTTTTTTAATGCATCTTAAAGATTTATTGACTTTTTAGTGTGTGTGTGTGTGTGTGTGTGTGTGTGTGTGTGTGTGTGTGTGTATCTGTGTGTATGGTAATATTTTATTTGTATTAAAATGCTATTTGTATGTTAATAAATAAA